GACACGTCCTGTAGACGTTTTCTTTGTGTATCTCACAAGCTAATCTTCACTGTGGTCCCTCTTTCAACCTCTTTCAACAAGACTAAAGTGCTTTTGCTGTGTTTTTCAAGCGAGCCTATGAACGTCCATTGAGAAGCCTGGAGCCAAGCACACACTCACACGACCTATATCTACTATCTGGCCTGCGCATCATTTATCTTACAGCGGCAGAATCAGGATAGATTGGTTCAATTAGACTGGCCTTTAATGTAATCTGTTTAATCCATTTCTATCATCAAAGCCAATACCTACCGCTCTCCTCTGAGAGTGGGATTAGCTGTACGAGTGCATCTCGGAGCCAGCGTCTCAGCTATAAAAATGGAGCCTCTGAGTCAACCAGATCTCCTCAATACTTGCGATATTTGTTTTCTTTACAAGTGGCTGTTAAGAAAACAGAGTGTCTCAGTGAAGTTTTAATGGGTGAAGATTTAAGATCCTCATATCCTACCAGAGATTGCAAGCGCTGTTTGGCACAATGCCTGGTGGCCCAGTAAAAAGACAAGGAAAAACTTGGCTTCCGTTTTATTCTCTTCAGTTGATTTCATGCCTTTAATTGGGAAAAACCAGTAGCCTACAGAGCTGCCCCAAACATTCATTAAATCTGAGAAAGTTTGTGTGTAAATTCAACCTCAAAAGCTAGTGTACCTCCAAATTAGTCTTATGCCAAACACATTTTAAAATTAGATAGATACAAACTGTAGGCATTATGTAAACTTACATATTATTCCACTGTAAAAACATGCTCTTTCCATGTGAGCTAAATTTTTTTAGAATGATTTAGAATTATAAGCTAACCTAACTCACTTTGACAACCAAATGAGTCATTTTGGACACAAAGCTTCAGTTTAAGGTGTGAATTTGTAAAATTTAACCTAAATTGATATCAATAAGGTTTATTTCACAGGATATTTTAGTTTTGAACAATATTCACGCTAATCGAGCTAAATGTGAAACAGGCTAATAATCTATACAATTCAAGCTAAATTGTTAATTTTCATTCAAGTTTTTACATTATAAGAGTTAACAAGATATGAATTTAAATTTCAGTTTAAATTTCTGGTGTTTTTACTGGTTTTACAATTCACATCAATTCAGATCATAATAATAAAATAGTGGTCTATAGTCTAATAGTATAGTTACAGTGGTTTTCATGTCAAAATGTTTGTAGGGGGTTCCAAACATTGCTTTCTATAGGGTCAAAATGATTCTATTGGGAGTTCTAGTATTAGCTAATAATAAGTTGTGTTGTGATGCAATTTTGTTTATTCCACATTTAACAACATACACTATATCAGACCTTCCCAAAGTGTGGGGCCCGCCACCTAGGGGCGCAGAGCCATGCCAGGGGGGGGCGCGGGATGAAAAAGGGGGGAAAAAAACAAAACGCTTGGACACTGCTAGCACGGGCGCCTACAGAAACACAAAGCAGGAGATGAAGCATCGCTGAATATGTTTCCAAGCCAACTTCATTCTAAGCCAAAGACTAGAAAATATGGTGAAGCAAATCTTCCCTTTGGCTTCACCTGCACAAGTGCCGAGGTAGGTCTCCCCTGCAGAATTGGTTTTCCCTTCGTCGGGAGCAGCGCTGGGCTGTTTAAATCACGGACAAACAGTATCCCACATTCTTGATTTTTAGTTCACAAACACTTCTTGTAATGACTAACTACTCCTGACATTTTGGAGATATACATACTATACTATACTTTATACAGTAAAGTTACAGTGGGATACAAATAATATCAGGCTGATCCTGCCACGATTTGTTCCCCCTGTCTAAATCACGGACAAACAGTATCCCACAGCTGTTTATGTTTACCTATTTTGCACAGAGAGACATTTTTTGAAAAATGTATTGATAGCAATGTTGAATATTATTACACAGGGGGAAAAAAAAACACACGTAAAATAATCACACCGTAACATCTCTGCCTTTGTAAATGGAGGGACAGTAACTGCGCGTGTATATGTAAGCGTGTAAAACCTGCAGATAGTCAGATTAACAGTATTTTGTCTGTTAATCGCCCAGTCTGCAATTCATCTCATATAAACAATAACTTGGCGCACCGCGTGACGTGAAAAAAGGCACATACCTTTGACATTGCATGACGAACTCTGTATTCCTCATCCACACGTAAACGCAAAAAAGAAGTTTTAAAAAATCTCAGTTTTAGGTGATTCGAAACGCTGTTTACGTGTGGACGAAACAGCTGCGTTTTCAAAAATACCCGTGTAGGTGTGGACGTAGCGTAAAAGAGTTAGTAGTTTATTTTCTTACTACCTGTAATTTATTGCAGATTACTTGTATTTGCTTAATTGTTTACTAAATGTTTGAGGTGTGAAATAAACCGCAATGGAGCAAAATATGGGTGTGTGTGGTTGCAGGATGTGTTCGTGCGTGTTCACGCAGTGGGGCGCGAACATTTTTCTTGTAAAACAAGGGGGGCCCAGCAAAAAAAGTTTGGGAACCACTGCACTATATGATGAACAAAACCATTTTAGTAAAAGTCATGAAATATCAGATTGAGGATTTTTAAGGGTCTTTAGACGATTAATAGTTACTCTCATGCCAATTTTAGTGTTAAACAATAGCTAGCTATATGGGTTTTTATGATTATTTAGGTTAAAACTGCCACAAAATAATATATAAGCTTAAATAGTATTTCTTTTTTAATGCAGAAATAGGTTTCAGAATGATTAGAAAATACACAATTAAGCTAACCTAACTGATTATGCTAACACAACCGGTTCAGTATTTTGGTTCAAAAAGAGGTCACAAACCTTACAATGAACTTTCTTCTTTTGTGAAATGTAACTTGGGTTATGAGTTAACAGATGCCAATTTTATGGGCCATAAACCATCTTAAATTTAAACAACTTAAGCTAAATGGGAAGCAAGCTAACAGGCTAAAATTAGGTATATGCGCAATAAAGTTCTGCAATAAATATGCAATACATTTGGTAGATGTTAGTCAGTATTTAGTAGCAACTCAATTTGAAATAAGGGCTATTTTTTCTGGTGAACCCTTTCTTAGTTTAGTTAAATGGAAATCCCCCCTTATTAACACTTGTGCTAATAGCCTGGCTAAATTTAATCTCCAAATGGCTTCAATACTACACTCTCAGAGACTGTCACTGTTTTCATTTAGGGGTTTCCATGACGCTTCCTTTATAATAGTGTGCTGAAGGAATCATGGGTCTGTGAAAATACTTCAAAAGCCATGACAAAAATTTCCCGCCCTCAAAAATATCACGGCTTTCAGACTGTTTTCTAAATTCATGGATTCCATCCAACAGCTGCAATCTGCTTCTACCTGCTGAGATTTCCACAGGGAAGTGGGATTTTATACTCAATCCCCATCTATCCATTCCCCTACCCTGCGTGTTTCTGTACTCACGCTGTCTGAAGAAAGAGGAAATGAGTGTGTGGGTATTTACAACTGCACATACATCTATTTTTTGGTTTGAATGCATTTTTATGATTTATACGGTACATACTCATCAGCCCTTATCGCCTTGCCCATAATTCCTGCCTTTTAAAACAGATACAAATTTAGGAATTCTACACTATATAATGTGCAAAAAATATAATTTTTCTTTTTCATTTCACCTGCTTTCATGGGGGGG